TTAAAGAGATGCAGTAGAAAAAGGAAATCTACTGTACCTGGTGATGTTTGTTGAAAGACATTTGGTATTGACACTTTTGATGTCTTGCGATTAGGAGATGGATTCTTATTAGAGGCAGGAGCTGCAGCTGTATAAAATAATAATACAATAGTTATTAAATCAGCTAGCATTCATATTGTAACCAGGCATACAGTATTATCTACATGTACATGTATTTTCACCCAATGGCGGAATGATATGTGTAGGTGCATTCTTTATTGGTATCAACTTACGTGTTTTTAATAAAGGGGATACAGGAGTGGGAGGGCCTGGCTCTTTATTCAATGGACTAGTAGGTGGTACACCTAACTGGCGTCTACTAGCAACAGGTGACTGATCTGGACTTGAACTCACAGAGTCTGTAGTATCAGTGCTACCTTCTACAATGGTAGAGTAAAAACAGTGATTATGATGCATATGAAAGTGAAACCTACTATTATGTCACATGCCTCATATAGACAAAATTAATACATGTGATAGAAGCATAATTATTTCATTGCTTTTACTCACATTTTTTCTTTGGGTGTCTCCCATATATCCCAACCCTCTCTCTCATTCTCCACTACATATATACAGTATATTCCTCTCTCCTACATGTGCCGTATTTCCTTAAATAAAAGCCGGATGCAAATAAACGCCAGGTAGCAATAGAGTTCAAGCATAAATACGCAACTTCAGCCTTTAAGTAACTCAGTAGCCTTGTAGATACTGCCTTATGTTCCTGATTCCTGAAGTCCAATGCTTGAGGTCACTGGTTCAAATCCCACACTGGGCCTAACTTTTGTACCTCGAAAATTTTTTGAAGTCCAAATACCATTTTAGGAAATAGACACCTGGGCTTTTATTTAAGGAAATACAGTACATGTATCTTCTCTATATACCGGTACCTTTGTTTCTTCTTTTCTTCAATTTTGCCAGCAGCTCATTCTCTGCTGGTTTGTTTTCTTGAATATCTTTTCTTGGAGGTGGAGTCCTACCTCTCCTTGGCCCAGCAGCCTTTATATTAATAATAAATAGTATTAATGTGTACATTAATGTACTACATGTATATACTATATGTTCTGTATAATATAAAAATTTTTGTTTCAGACTACATAATAATATAATTTTTACATAATTTTTATTTTTATTTCATAAGTACATGTATATTCTGTATTCTTATTGTAAAAAAAAACAGTAAAAAGGGGATCCT